TGAGAGTAAAAGCTAACCAAACCAACATCTGCTACTAAATTCTAATTAAAATATCATCTCCTTCCTAAAATAATATTTTTTTTCCTGCCAAAAGCAATAAAATTAATCTGTTTTTCCCAAAAGACAATTTAGGCAAAAAAAAAAAAAAAAAACTTTTGGCAAAAAAAAGATGGCCATTTAGGAAAGTGATGATTTGAAGGACTTTTACCAGGAGTACAGTAAATATAAACTAGTATTGAACATTACATTTACAAATAGGCTTTTAGATAATATTCTGGATCTCTCCTACATGCAGTGACATTTTCTTTAACCAACAAGGAGCATGTTCCAGATTATCACGCCGGCTGTTAATACAAATTGAGTGCTTATATTAATAAGCTCATTGTTGTAGAGCATAAAGAGTCTGTACATCTGAAATTAAATAGTCTTATTCATAAATGAGTAATAAATATGCAAAATAAATAATGGCCCTGTGAAATAAGAAAACATATATTTTTCAACTGAGAGCTTATTTCCTAAATAAAAACTTTAGCTATTTATTTAGATGTTTATTTATGAATTTCTTCCATTGTTTATTCATTTCATAATGGCCTTTTACTTTGTGATACTTATTTTATTTTTATTTTTTTACCTATTTGTTTAATTTTTCATATATCATTGGAGTACGGGAACTCAGCTCTAACCAAAAGCTTTACTTTTTCTTGTTTAATGGGGACATTTATTTATTTCACAGAATATACATTAAATAGTTCATCAATAACATCATTTATTTGTTGAATTTTGAACGAAACGGCTCTCTATTGTAGAGAACGTAAGCCGAATCACAAGAACAGCGGGAGCGTCCGCAGAGCTCATCACTTCTTCGTGGTTTGCCTTGACTCGGGGCCAGGGGACGTGGCCGCCGGCCAAACACTTGCTGCTTGGGTCACTCACTCATCGCTGGCAGGTGTGCAGAGTGAGAGAATCTTGTTCTTAGTGCTTACACTCCACTAACAATCCAAACCAAACAGGATTAACACCTACTGTGTTTAATCATATTCAGCTCTACAGTGCTCCAGTATGTTGTGTTGGCTGCATGTTGAAAACATTTTACACCAAACATAAATTCCAGTTTAGTGCTAAGATGTAAAAACAAAAAAACAAACAAAACTGAATGGTCCTTATTTTGAAAGATTATGAATGGATGAATACTGCTCAGCATCAATGTTGACCATACAATAAATAAATAAATAAATAAATAAATAAATAAATAAATAAATAAATAAATAAATAAATAAATAAAAGTAATAAAAGTGTCATGGTCTGAGATTTCTGCCTCCTTGTTGGTAGGAATATTTCAGACAGTCTGGTTGGTGTGACATAAAAAAATATACCCTGTCTACCTGCTTCAATTTGTCTGACAGTTGAGTCACACAATTACACTGCTGTCTGTGGTATTATCCCATTGTGTTACTGAGGGTGTGGGTCTAAGAAAGAGAGAGGAGCTGTGAGTGGCTATAAATGGGATCAGAGTGTGTCTAGAAAGAGCAAAAATGAAGCAGACTGTGGGAAGCCCCCCCGCAGACTCCTGTAATCCTGTGGGCTGAAGGCCTGGAGAGGCTGCAGGGGTAGAGCTAAGTTAGCAAACAACAGTAAACACACCGAGCTAAATCTCTGAGGATATTTAGATATTTATATTGTGACAGACAGTCTATATTAACACACAGTTCTAATGACGTCACTTCCGATAACTTTGTAACTGACAGCCATCTTGGTAGGCAGTTGCTATGGAGTTATGTGTAAAGAAGCCACAAGTTATGAACTAGCTCTCACCTTGTTCATAATTTATAAACAATATAAGCACATTACAACTATTACAGTTTTTGAGTACTCTACCCACTTCTGTGTAATAACAAGATAAATATTGGTGATATTCATTGTAGTACTTACTGCCGAACTAGCAAAATCAGTTTAGCGTTTTTCTGCAAGCTAAGAACTGCACAGCATTCTGGGGAATGTAGGCAGACAAAGGGTTTTAACCCCTCAACCTCTCACAGCCAGCTAAGCAAAGTCGGTGGCATCAACTAATTCACTCCCTCACTCTTTGGTTACTTAGCAACAACCCGTCGATCAACTTGTGCATAAGAAGCTTGAAACAAGGAAAAGTCATGCCACCAGTTTGTCAGTATTGAAAATATTTAAAACAAAAAAACGAATCAATAATTATTGCACTGAAAATATCCGGTTTTTGTTAGACATTGGCTATGCCTGCTTATAATAATTTATTCATTGAAAGAATTTTAAACTCGTCAGGTTTAAAATGTTCACTTTTTGAAGTTTTAAAGCAAAATAAAATGAAATCAATTTTAGAAATTAAAAAAAAATTGCTTATTGCTGACTACGTTAATCAGTGTTACTAACTGCTCCATTGTGAATCCCTGATAAATATCTTTTCTTCCAAATATGTTAGAAAACCACACAGTCTGTCTACTCCACCTGTGCTTGATAGCGTTTTTTTTTTTTTGCCTCTTTAGCCAAGAAACATTTATCTTACTAGGTTTTTCCTGCTTTGATAGGATCTTTTTTTTCTGACAGCCTCAATGACTTAAAACACCAGCTCTCAACTAAAAGCAAAAGGTCTGAAAATTCAGAGAATGTGTAAAACCATTTCATTGTGATACTTTTGTTATGTGTTGTGATTTTTTTATCATTAATCACATCTTGGATGCTTAGAAAGGAAAAGCAAATAACACATAAGTCAAGACAATATTTTCTGTAGGAGTGCCCAAGCAGTTCCAAACAGCTGTGGAAGTTTGAAGAGAAATGGATTTGGTCCTCACTCCACCCTCTATTGTCTTTGCCCATCTCTTTCTTTGACAGTAATGACAGTCTCTCACACACAACAACCAAGAACACAACGTGTGTTTACTTCATCCATCAGCACTGATAAGTCCTCCCTTCCCCGCCTTTCTCAACCCTCCTCCTTTCACTTGTTCTTTCAATCATTTTTGGTCTTGCTGACAGACCAGAAAGAAAGAAAGCATTTTTACAGAATATGCACATCTATGAGGTTTGACATGAGTCTTTCATACACACGTGTGTATGTGTGGGAGAGGACTGGGAATTAAAAAATGAGCGAATGCCAGTTCTCTGGTCAGAAAAAATAAAAGGGAGCTATTGCCAAAGCGTACAGCTAACGGAGAGAATCGCACAAGATGTTACGTAGGTGGTTGTGGAGCGGATGTGTGCTCATTTGGGTGCAAGGACAACTTGGTGTGAACATGTTTGTATGCGCAACATTAAATGCATACACGTTAATTAGATGAAACTACACTGTCACGTTCACATTGTTCCACAAACAAAGTGACGTACTGAATCAGCCCAGACCTCCTGCAGTGAGCCACATGGCTACTGCAGGAGGCTTCTTGAAATAGACAACAATTATATCAGAGAACCAGTTGGTGAACTGCAGGTAAATATTTGTTGTGTTGGGATTCGAACTAAATTGCTCACATGTTGAACTATTTTAAAGTATTCACTTTAAAATAGTTGCCAATAAAGAAATGGCAACTTTATGTTTTAACCTGACATGAAAAACATAATGTGGGATTGTCATTGCTCTTTACTAAGGACAAGAAACCTGATCCAGGCTGGTCATTGAAAGATGATGAAACTAAATACCATCCAATCTTGGAAGACTTCCTGTTATTAACTGTTAGACCTGAGACGGGGCGAGTGGAGGTTTGTCTTCCAGCAGGTAAATGACCCAAATCATACAGCCAGAGCCCCTATGGAATGGTTGACAAGCCAAAGGTGTTTTTGGGAAAGACTCACCAAACAGAAACAACTAAGGGTGTTTTCACACCTGATGATCTGGTAGAGTCGGTTTGATTGAGAACCAAAACTGCAACATTTGTTATTGGATTTTCACCTGGTGGGGTTTGGTTTCACGCCATCAAAAATGAAGTAATTTTTCATTACTTCATGAAAAACCTTTTAAGAAACCTGTTCCCCCAATCAGTTGCGGTGGCTCGTCAGCAAGAACCACTGAAGGAAATGAGACAAAAACCTCAGAAGAAGACATGAGCGTAACTTCCTTCTTTACAAAACGTAAACAAAACGGAGGGTCTTCAGATGTTAGCAGTTGTAGGATTTCTCATTTGTCTTTAGTAAAAGGCCTCGAGCCGTTTCTCCTGATAACAATAGACTCTCGTGTTTGTTTTGAGTGCGCTTACCCAGAATCCCTTGCATTCATATATGCATATGAACCGCACCAGAGTGAATTTCTAACAAAGCAAGACCCAAATTTTTTTGGCAAACCAGAGTTTACATTTTTGGTCCACATCAGAATGGACCAAAAGTGCATTCACACCTCCCCAAATGAACCAGACTTTCTGGGCAAACGATTAAAGAGTTTGATTGAAGTGGACTAAACAGGGCTGGTCTTAAAGCACCCTACGGCTACATTAAAGCAGCCATTTTCACCACAGTAAACGGTCCAATTCCAGTCTTTTCACCCCTCCTCTACAGAATTTGCAGTCAATTCTCCACAAAAGACTCTAGCTAGTAGTTGTGCTTTCTTTTTACTCACTTCTGTTGTGACAAAACTGTCAGCCCTCAATAACTTTAAAATCGATTCATAGACAGTGACATTCATTATTACTTCCGTGTGTTCCGTCTGCGTTCTCCTTCTGCGCAAGCGGGTCGCTTTGGGGTTGTAAACCATTGACACAGAAGTCTGATTGCGGTCACATTTGCTTGTGCCATAAATCTGGACATTACTTGAGCATCAAAAATAATCTCTCAGTAGATTTTATTCATAACTCAGATGACAAGAGGGCAATTTCTTATTACTTTGGGATTCAATTATTCCCTCCCACAGGATTGTCCATTCACCAGTATATAAGATTACAGGGATACTGTTGTACAAATCACAGAAAAGAAAGATGGGTAAGGATAGCAAAGGTCTGAGCAGGACAAGGCAGGTTGACCAGTGAAAGTGGTTGTGTGTGTGTGTGTACCTCTTTTGAGCTCCGCTTGGCGATGTAGATGATACTCTGCTGACAGGCTACATCCAAACATGCGGGGAGAAGGTGATCCTGATAGCCATCTCCATCTGCCAGAATGAAACGCAAAGTAAGATCAGGGAATAACAATACAGGGTTGAACTAAAGAGAAATATAAGACTTTGCTTTCCCACAACTGTGCTATTTTAATATTCTCGTTCCATCTCAACTCCGTGAATTTGTTCTGGTGTGACTTTGAGAGCAGCAACGTTTCAGGCAACAAAGGAGTAGCTGCTGTGTTTTTTTTTATTTTCCATGTGTGAACTGGATCACAAGAACACCTGCTTGTTTTCCAACAGCACACACAAATCCTAGCAGCACTTGTCTCTTTGATGTCTTTCAATAATGCCTCTAGACTTGAACAAAGAGTTCCCAACTCTTTTTATCCAGTTCAAGTAATTACTGCCATTTCATTATTATTAATTGATCTCAGGATTAAACTACGAGGGGTTTATTTAGCGTACAAACTAGAAGTGAATTGCCCTCACTTAAAACAGAGGCTATTCAAAACCAAAAGGCTTCACTGGACCAGGTTCAGCTATAGCTCAGGAACAAATGTCCTATTTGGTGATGCTTAATGAAATGTTTTTGAAATAATGTAAAGCTGTTGTAACATGAGGTTATGTTGTTATCCAAAAGGATTTTTAAATACCGCGAGGTCAAACACCAGGAATAAAAATACAACAGAAAATATTCTGAAGACCAAAGGGTGTTGACATCTTGGCAACAATGAATAAATACATAAATCCAAACATCAGAGAAAGCTGAAACTTTACTTGGAGACAAATGTGAAAAAAGATTCCTGGAAAACCCCAGAGGAGAACAAAAAGCCTGCAAATGTACAACAAGTGTTTGACGGAAAATAGTTTTTGAAACAAAAAAGATTTTTCATTATTTGCTGAATTACCAATATTGAGTAGGCCACTTTCTGCACCATTGACAGCCTTGAGCTTTTAAAGAAAGAAATTGGAAATATGGATTTTAAATTTGATCGTGCCAGTTGACTATTAAAAAAAATTAAATGGAATATTTCTGATCATGAATCAGTCCTTGCATCCACTCTGTGCTGTAAGCCTCTGTCACGCTGATTAACATACCACTTATGTTGGCTTAACTACATCTTGCGTGGGTCTAAACATGAAGAAATGTAATGCCTTTGTAAAAAAAAAAAAATAAATAAAATAATAATAATAATAATAATAATAATAGCTTAGGAAATATGTGTGTTGTTTCTGATGTGCTCCTGTGTTTTGAAAGGTGTGTGTGTGTGTGTGTGTGTGTGTGTGTGTTTGCACGAAAGGTTTTGGTCTTTCAGAATCCAAGTGGTAAAACAATAGTTAAATTCTTCAGAAAGAAGATCGGGCCACCAGCTGTTGCATCCGCTTCAATTGTTCATCATGAGAAAGTTCCACAAATCATCATCTGCGCAGACAAGGTGTCTGCATACAGTAACGTGATTAATCACACGTAATCACAGTAACGTGATTAGTTTATATTACTAAAACATTTCTAGGAGATTTGAGTCGCATTTTCGATGTATTTGAATACCAACTGTAATGCTACATAATATAATGTGCAGGTAGGCGATGTCATTGTCTCAAAGATTAGTAAACTTTAAAATCTAATGAAATCTCCAATGACGCCAAGGAATACAGACTGTATTATAGTATAGAATATAGTATAGTATAGTATAGTATTATAGTATAGATGTCACCAAAACATTGGTTTTTGGTGACATCTTTTAGCTAAGGAGACTGGTCAGGATGGGTAGTTGTTGACTACAATGGCTGACTGCAAAATACTATGTGTTTTGAAATCTTCCTAGCCTTCTATCCATCCATCTATTTTCTATACACTTTTGTCCCTAGTGGGATCAGGAGGCGTGCTGGTCCCTATCTCCAGCGAACGTTTAGAGCGAGAGGTGGGGTACACCCTGGACACGTTGCCAGTCTGTTGCAGCTTTCTAGCCTTCATAAAATGGCTAACTTATATGGTTGAAGTAAGCCCCAGTGAAAGTTGCCTTTAAGCCAACTCAACCCGTCATAACCAAAGGCCATTAAGAACCAAAGGAAGCATGATGTATAACTCAGTGGTGATGGGGAAAAGAAAATAATAATAATAATAATAATAATAATAATAATAATAATAATAATAATAATTAGCACATCATTCTTTTCAACACATGGTGATTGCCATGGTCTATAAAATCATCCAACACTGTAATAATCCATCTTATTAGTATAATAAGATGCTTGTCATACAAATAAAGCTGCTGTGAAGTCTCATCATGTCGAGGAAAACTGGCCAGGCCTTTGTTATCCACAGCATGCTGGTCACATATACTGTACCGCTTTTTATTATCTTTATAATAAAAAAAGCTGGACAAAACTTCTCTTTTAAATTTGTCTTTTAATATAAACATCGTTCTCGCCGGAGAAGCCTCAACGTTCTTTTGACTGCCAGGATGTCTTGCATCCTTTCTTAATTGGAAACAAATTCTTTAATATTTGGTACTGGTTCACTAAGGAAACTATTAGATTTCTTTGGCGGTACACATTAATAAGTCTGCTTCTGTGTGTCATCTCGTCACACAAAACAGTTTCTCACACAGGTCCTGACAAACATGTAAAATTCAAGTCGCTTAGAGGGGAAGCTTAGCTTAGGGGCATTGATTCAAGGATGAAGTGTAAAAATTAAGCAGAACCCACAGAGTCATACTTTGCCTTGGTGTGCTGTTAAAACTACAGTTCAATAAGCTCCAAATGGATGTTCGCAGGAGCTCTCCACAAGAAAATGGATAATGAAACAGTTGCAGAATGTTTTTTGTTTTGCGCTTCAAAGTCAGTGAAGTAAAATGTGAACCCACTAAGGAACTCAGCGGCTGAGTATGGCTGGATGGATGGATGATTTTCACTAATTTAATAAGCATCTTAGTTTATGGTTTACATTTCAGGAGGCTGTTCCCATGCATTTCCGCTAACTGACAAATTTCATCCTGTGCTCATAAAGTTATTATTCAAATTTTTTTCTTAAAAATGTCGTTTTTAGCCCGGGTTGCCGCTGCTCTGTTAATCCAAATCTGCTTCAACATGGTAAGAGCCACACTCCCTAGCAGATGTTGCGCCCTGTGGAAGGGGAGAACCGAATGACTCTGATGATGAATGACAGCGCAAAGATGGGGAGGAGGAGAAACTCAAAGTGGCTGTCAGGGGCAACTGAGCGAGAGGCAGAGTGGGAGAAAAAGAGATAGACAATTAGATGCTGCAAAAGCTAATAAGTCAACATTCTGTGAATTTAAAAGACTCCTTTTCATGGTTTAAAACATGCAAAATGTCTAGTTTGGACTCTATTGCATTCCAAGTTTAGGGTAAGCATCAAATTTAAAAGAAAAACTGACATGGATGGAAGGACACATCTGAATGGGCTGCAGGATTGCTCCTAATGTCTACCAGCACATGTACTGTAACATATGGTGGGACAAAAAAAAAAATAAAAAAATCTCCCACATCTCCCCACCAGCCAAAAATTATTCAGATGTGAGCAATGCTTTCTAATTAATTGCATTAATGTTGAAACAAGGCAAACAAATTCAAATAAGAGCATGTGTGCATCGAGGCATGCTCCACTGGAAAGTTTCGGCGCAGAAACACCAAGGTGGAGAAAAGCAAAAGGTTTAGGAGAGAATCAGTCCTGCTGAGGTTATTTCTTTGATTATTCAGTTCTTCTGCACACACACTCCCGTCCTGCTTGGCCTTTCCTGCATCTTCTGTCTCGTCTATTCATCTGACTGTAATATTCCTCTTTACTCGACCTCCTTCGAAACCTCAGTCCAGTCGCCTCTTCTCCTAATGCTCGCCGTATTACCTTTCGTTCTATCTTTCTTTCAACTTCTCTCATCTTCGAGTCTGTCTTCCCCTCTCGCATTATCCCCTCCTACCCTTTCAGCTATGTGTGGCATATTGGAGACGGGTTGAGGGAGATGTGCACTGAAGCTGCAGAATGGAGCTGCACTGGAGAAAATGGTGATAAGAAGGCAAAGTAGATAAGAAGATGAGACTGTAGACTGTACGATTAGAAGTGTAATATGAACCACAGGCATTCATATTACACTCTATGCAAATTACCCTGACGTCTATCAATTATCACACCAAACTTTGAGAGATCCCACCTAACAGATGCTTGGTGTAAGATATGCAAAGGACAGGACCCTGAACCAGGTCACAATAACAAACTTTGTTGGACAATAAATTGTCCCAGAAATTATTGCAATAATCAATAGTATTGTTATTTTGAGACCATTTTCAAGTTATATACTGATAATGGCATAAAATTGCGAGTTTGCCCTGTCAAAGACTAATAAACTAGAATTTTGTACAAAACTCTCCAAATTGGAATTGGAAGACATTTTAAATTTACAAAATAAAACACAACCTAAAACAATAAATGAAACGGAAATTTAAAAAAAACACATACAACTGAAATAATTAATAAAATGGATAATAAAATTGCCCTTCAACTAATATTTTTCTTCAGAATGGAAATTACGGGACTCATTTTATTTTATCATGTGATGAATTGATCATTATGATTCAAATTATTTCCATTCTACCAAGAGGTTTACAGCTGAAACTGGTATGGTCATAAAATGATCTATTCAAATCTTACTTGAAAAATTGGGGCAGTAATCAAACCCCTCCTGTAGTCGCTGACCAGTTTTGTCCCACTTCTCTCTCATCTCCATCTCCCTCCAAAGATTTTAATAGGGACTCTGGGTGGGGAACTAAAACAATACTATACATTATTTGATATAAATATCAAAAAAATACACCCAGTGAGGAAAATGGGGCACAGATTGGGAAGAAGGAATAGGCTAAATAAACCCAACAATGATAACAGTGATCGATGAAGACTAAAGAATCCCTTTAACAACAACAATGCAATAGTAGAAACAAAAAGGAAACCAAGAGACAAACAAAAATGTACAAAAATTAAAGTACAACTACAAAACACCCAATTTTAACACAAAACCAAAACTGAGTCCTTGAGATCA